CTGCTCTTCCTGACTGACATTTTACGCCGCGGGGGTTCTTGAACCCACTGCTGCCTCAGGCGTGTGGCAACTACTTGGAGAGCCAGTTGAATTCGACGCAGGCCTCTCAGGGCTATCCATCCACACATCCCCGCGGAGGAGTGGCCTCGAGGATGAGGATTTGACTCTCTTGCTGATGCTAAAAGATGTTGCCGACGGCTTCGCCTTCGAGCTGTCCAGGGGTGAAGCTGAGGTGAGACAGCGATGGGGCCACGCAGTGGCTGCCGGCAAGCTCGGCATTTCTCAACCGCCTGGCGCAAAACCCAGGCTAATTGGTGATGGCTCCGTGTCAGGCGCCAATGCCGCTTGCTGGATCTCAGAAAAAGTACGTCTTCCCACACTTGAGACTGCGCAGCGCCTTCTTTCCAACTCATCAAGCGATCAGCGCTGGTGTGCTTTCTCCTTCGACGTGTGTGGAGCTCACAAGCTTATTAGGGTCCGCGAGCCTGAGCAGGGCCTGTCCTGTTTTGTTGTTAAGGGTCGTTGGTTTGCCTATAGCAGCTGCTATTTCGGCTGCCGTTGGTTGGGCTGCCTATTGGTTTAGTAGGGCTGGTGGGTTTACAGTGCGCCAGCTCCATCTTCTCCTTTGGGTGTGCCATGGGCTCTTCCTGTATGTCGACGACGGACTCAGCCTCTTCCCTGTTGAGCAACCTTGCTGTGTGCCAAGGGAATTCTGTTGAGCTGGGAGAAACTAGCTTTTGGTGAGACTCTTGGCTGGATCGGGTGGGACTTGTGTTTTCCCTCTCGATGCGCTTTGCTGCCTAACACTAAGCAGTCCAAAATCCTTGCCATGCTATCTCCGCTTTTGCGGCCCGGGTTTAGACTTCTTCGGAGGGATCTTGAAAGGGTTATCGGTTCGTTGCTGTGGTTTACGGGGGCCGCCTCCTGGCTCAGAACATGGCTGCAGGAATTCTACCGATTGCTCTATAAGCCTTCTTTTGTGACCTGTACTCTGTCGGCTCACCAATTCGGAGAGTTGCTCGGCTGCTTGTCCGATTCATTGCTGGTCATTTCTCCTGCCGCCTTATCGGACGTCCGCCCGCGCTGGCGGCTGCACTCGGTCAACAACTGCGTTGTTCGTTGCCTTGGTGACCAGGCCATCGCGTCCCCGCGAGTTCGTTCAGGGCAGATCAGTGTGGTTTTCTTTGATTACTCGTCGGAGTGGACACATACTTCGAGCAGCTCTGTTTTTGCAGCGCAGCTTTTCCACAAGGCCGTGTCCGGGCGCGTGCAGATCCCTCTCTGCATCCGTGATGCTCCACCTTGCCTTTGCGCCGCGGATGCTTTTGCCAGGGGTGACTTTGTCGGCTTAGGGGGTTGGTTTCTTTCTCCCGGGGATGATTGTTTTCTAGGCCATGTTGAGTGGTTTCGCTTCAAGCTGTCGTGCAGTGACTTGTCGCGTTGGCTGCGTCTTGCCAAGGATGAGCTTCTGCTGTCGTTCATTGCCTCCTTTGAGGCGCTTGCCCAACTCATCTTTTTGGTTCTTCGCTGCCGCGAGTTCGTGCGTAAGCACAACGACTCCTTCCTTAAGCGTCTCGCGCAGCTGTGCGATAATTATGGTGCCGTCGGAGCATCTTCTCGCATGCTAAGCATGAAGGAGCCATTGTGCTGGATGTTGCAGGCATTAGGGTTTTGGTCTGTCCGCTTTGGGGTTAGGCTCGTATGCTCTGAGATTGCTGGCGTTCGAAACGAGTGGGCCGATGCACTAAGCCGCGATGGTCTGGCAGGCGTCACAGCTGAGTATGAGCGCTGCGTGTCGCTGGCGGAATTACTTGATGCTCCGTGGTCCAGCAGTTGAGCCTCCACCCTTTGGCTGGGGTTGCTATTTCGTTCATATTTGTGTCGCCTCAATCTGCGCTGGACCGCCCACCTTTCAGTTGGGTGTGTGCTTCCCCCCCATGGTCAGCTGCTGCTGCAGCTGGCGTGGGGGTTGAAACATGTGTGTGCGGTCCATTATAAGACATGCGTGTGAGTGTGTGTCTTCCAGTGGTTGTGCGCGCGGTTGTAAGTGTTGGGAAGCCTGCGCACCCGTGCGTGTTACAAACACTTAGACCCGTGCGCGCGCCCTTGACGCTTCTTGTGCATGTGTGTTTTGCACCTGCGGCGGTCTGGCAGTCCAAGGACGCCTTGTCAGTCTTACTGCGCGACCTTTGTGCGGGGTGTGTGCCTCCCCCCATGGTCAGCTGCAGCTGACCTGGGGGTTGAAACATGTGTGTGCGGTCCATTATAAAACATGCGTGTGAGTGTGTGTCTTCCAGTGGTTGTGCGCGCGGTTGTAAGTGTTTTTCGCTTTCCATGTGGCGGTCCTGTGCTCTGTTGAAATTTGATGTCATGCTGTGAAGTCATTGCGACCTTCGTTGCAAAGAATGCGCAAGGAAATAAGCGAGAAACTGAAGGTTCATTACTGTTGGTTGCTGGCATAAAGGGGCAAAGCTTCTGTGAGCAGGAGGCTTCAGTGGGACGTAAATCAAGTTGCTCAAACATACGGCTAACCAGAGCGCCTGCCTGCATGAAAATTTTGTACTGCAGAAAGGATTCATCTTGTGAGCCTAATGGGCAAACTCAGAAGCAGGCTATGCACACGGTTATTGGGCCCCCCTGGCCATCTTCAGCAGGTTACAGTTGTTCTTATCATTCTTTTTGATGAGCAAGCATGTGTAAGCAGACGGACTCATTTATCTCCGTTGGTGATCCCTTCCTTGCGCCAGCTGGAGCTCACAGATGACTCGGCTGTGCTCAAAGTTGAAGGCTTGCGCATGCCGAGCTGAGCTTACAGAACTTGGAATATCACTTGACTTTCTCTGCAACAACTACTCCAAGGACCCAGCAGGAAGCAGCCAAGATGCGAAGAAGGCTTGCTTCCTGGGGCTCTTGAACAGGTTCTCGGGGTTTGCATGAACAAGTGGAGGATGAATGGCAGGAGGGTAATTCGAAAGCACAAGGCTTGATCCTGCCACTGGCCTCTACTCAACTCCCCATCCGCCCGTGTGGTTGTAGAACCCGATGTCTGGTTCTTGTTATGGGTTTAGATTCAGATCTCCGCATCAGGCTTTGGAAGCTTTCAAAGACGTTCAAATGGCGATTTGCTGCGGTTCTCTTGCTGTTTGGAAGCGTATTCTCCTGTTGCACTCCCTTCAAAATCAACTGGCTTATAAGACTTGCGACGTGCTCAGGAGGAGTGACAACGCATATGGTTCTCGTGCCAATGTTAACACTCCTCATCATGGACAGGATAGCCAAGAAAATTCGAGAGACAGCGTCGACCCTAGAGTGTCAGCATGGCCAGGCTGTGCAAAGTTTACTCATCTGGTTCCGCCTGTGCTGCCTGAGGCTGCACGGTCGCCTGAAAAGTTCGAGATGCTAGCAAAGCACATCCCGGATGTGCGCCCATGTACACAGACTCATGTCTTCACGCGAGTCTCAATGCCAGCATTATCGACAGTGTGCCACTCATACTTCGTGCATGTGTCTATGTCTATATGTTTGTCAGAGCCACAAATCACTGCGCGAGTCTGGAAACCAAGCGGCAGCTGGTGAGTCCAGGTGGCTGCAGACGCATACATCGAACTTGGTCAGGTGGGCACATTGAGCTGCTTTCGTAGTGGATTTTCCGGAGTAAGTCTCACAGCAAGGCGCAGTACGGCCGCTTTGCTGAAACTTTCCGGCTTCCTCAAGATGTGATCTTCCCAGAGATGGCTTGCAGTTTTGAGAGGCAGACTGGCAGAAAACATGGTAACGAACCCTGCAAGGTAGACGTCGAGAACATCGATGCATCGTTTGCCCCAGAAATTTCCGAGCCGATTGTTCAGTGCATATAGATAGGCAGCTGTTTTTTCAGACTCAGACCCGTACCGGATTCTGAACTAGCATCCTTCAATTGCAGTCTCCTGGCTGCTGTACTCGGATTCGTGCAGGTACACTGATGGCATCTTGCGTATCATTCTTCCCAAACGCCCTCAGCGACCTTTGCCACGAGGGCCCTCTTGCTTCATGATATTCTGATGCATGCAAACTCAGCATGATTCAGCATGGGTGTTGCTAAGAGGAGGTTCGGCAGATCTTGGCAGCATGTCCATGCAGAGCCCCTGTGCAGGCTTGGCTACAGCTTGGGCAGCAGCCGGGCTCTCATTTAAAGATTCAGAAATAGAAGAAGAAGAGCACTGGCAGAGATGGCAGAGCCTGCAGGGCCCATGCGGCGTGACGTGCACCCTGGCCTCGGCTTTGTCCTCAGCCTCGGAATATCTCGGAATATCTCTGAATCTCCTGAATACAGCTTATGTCTGGGTTGATTGCCCCTGGCTGGCAGGACCAGGATTGGCAGGGCGGTGGGGAGACTCTCTTTTTGGTGGCCAGGATGATTACTTCAGGTCATCTGCTGTGTGAGTGTGCGTGTCATTCCATTCAGAAAGCCTTGTCCAGGTGGTAAGCTTGGTGCGCTTCAGGGCAAGCTTTTGCCGTGCGCATGCCAATTCATTTGTCTTGCAAATCAATTCTGTCTCGCAGCTTGGCAGGCAAGTCCAAATCCGAAGTAGCATGAATTAACCAGCAGTGCTTAGTTTGCTATGATTGGACTTGACTGCTAGCGAAAGATTTGTGGCGCCCCCGTGTACAGAACCACAAGCTCGCGAAGCTCGCGCCGCTTGCTGAAGCGGAGCCAAGGTTTGCAAGTCAACATATACCTCAGCTGACAACGCCCAGAAATTGAAATAAAAAGCATCCCAGAGCTGACGGAAGAGATCTGCAAACGCATGTGCACTGCCTGCCGCGCTCATTTGCCCGTACTCGCAGCTTCAGCTTTGATTGCATGGCCCGATTGAGGCACATGAAGCCAACTCCAGCAACTGCGCTCAGAGAAAGAGAGTCTCATGACATCCTTCGCAGTATTCGAATCAACGAGATGCTCCCACACACAACGTGCAACATGTGTAACAAAGTGGGGTAAATGAAGTTGACCGCCTGGCATGGGAAATGTCCTCCTCGGTGCTGGAGAGGAAGGCCTCAAGCTACTGCCCATTGCCATTGGTGACGCTTGCCAGATTTCTGAGATTACATGGCACTGTTGTCGATTGAGGCAGTTCATCCTTCAGCACATCTGAGGTGTCTTTCATTGTGTACGTCCTCGTGCGGGCAATTTTTGGTGGCTGCCGTCCGTTTTTACATCAACTCTCGACTTTTGACTGCAAGTCTCCTCCGAATTGTACAGAGGCGAATACCTCTCACCTGCCAACGAATTTCTGATAGCCTGGACTCAGATCCGAGTGCGGGGAATTGATGGGTTATCCTCCGCTGCCACCGCTTGAGCCACCTGAGGACTGGGATCGTGCAACACATTGGCTTTAAGTTGTTGTGTGAGTTCTTTTTCGTAGCTGGTTTAATTATGCAGTTTCATCGCTTGTTAAAATCGTAATTTCTTCAACCTGCATTGCATGGGTTCCCCAAGGTCAAAGTCAAAGCTTTGCTGAGGTAAGCCCGCAACCCTGCCCCCCGCACTATCAAAAGAATGCAGATACTACGATTCCATCCATGCATTCAATCTGGAAGCGAGCTTGTCAGTGCAGTCAAAGCCAGCCTCCAGGCAATCGTCTGACCGTAGCAACTCGTGGCTTGCCTCAAGTGACTTGCAGTCCGTCTGCGTGAAGTGGCAGGCACGGGAGCCGTTTTCCACCGAGTCGCCTTCCTTGGTGCAGGCAGGGGCGTTCCAGGGCTTTCCCAAACCATGGCCTAGCAGCATGGCATAGCAACAAGCCTTTGCTGCTCGATCTTTTGGGCTCGAATCATCCCCAGATTTTGCAGGAGAGCTTTAAGCCTGAATACAATGCAAGCTTTGGACAGCTCAGCTCGGCAGCTCACCAGAGTTTACTTGGACATTGTTGTTGCAGCACTGAGTGTGGTCGCCCTTGGGGGAGGAACACAGGAGACTGCTTCGCAAGTATTCTGTCATGCCAAGAAGCAAACAGACGTTGCTGCACCATGATTCGATACATGGAGCATGACAGTCTGGAAACAATGCTTACTCACCTTGTGCAAGTCTTGTGCACCTGGGTGAACTTCAACAGCCACAGCAACCTTTCCCTGACATCAAATTCGGGTCTATGCCTGAAAAGCTGTCCTCAACAAGACCCGAGCATGAGAAGAAATAAGAAGTCCACTGTTCCGGTTCATAGATTCTGGCTTTCGCCTTTGTAGGTATTGCTAGATCGCTTGCCGCAGCGCTCCGCGCCGCTAAGCATGCTGCTGGGACTTCAGCCGTGCCTTTGATCAAGTTATTCCGGAAGATTGCGGCCAAGGGGTACCTCAAGAGATTTCAGGGCGAGCCACATCCCGGCACCGTCGACTGCGGAGCCGGCAGCAGCTGCCGGAGTACCGACTTGTCGCTCGGGAAACGTTTGGTTCGTTTTTTCGTCAGCTGAGTCATCTGTTCTTGATTGCCTCCGCGCTGCCCTGCTTGCATGTCGTCAATGCTGTCATGCTGCATGCAAGGCCCTGTGTGCATGCTGAATTGGCCGAATGCAGCTTTGGATTGCGGGTGGCCGTGCTGCACTGTGTTCGCGCGTGTGTGATGAGTTCTCTTGAATGGATTGCCGGCTGTGGCTTCGATATCCCCGAAGAGCGCCTACCCAACCAACTTAGATCGTTTATGGAATTTGACTTTCACAGGAGCTTTAACTTGTATGCTTCGCACTTCGACGCTGCAGTATGGCAGAGGCAGCTGAATCAAACATGCTTTCCTGAGCTCCCATCCAAAGATCTTGACACCTTAACGCCACCCAACAATTGCGACAATTTGATCCCCACCACTTTCAATCTAAATCAAAGCTCAGTATGAGAGGCTCTTCGAGTTTGCAAGGCTAAGCGTTTAAGCCTTGGGTTCCGAAGCGAGCAGGGGAAGTTGAGCATTAATTGAGGATCATGTTGCCTTGCGATGAGGCATCGAGTCTGCGCGGCATGTCTGCCCGAAATTCAGAGAAGATCCAACTGCTGTCCCGTGTGCTCCCGCCTTAGCCAGGTAAGTGAGTTGCATTATTATTATCGCGTGCAATTTATGCAGCTTTGTCGATACATGCTCAATCTACGTGGGAGGGGAGAACACTCTGGATTCGAAACGGGCCTTGCCAGATTGTTGCCATCACTTGCCTTGCTCGCAAGGTCGGGACCCCATTCGGCAGGTCATGCGGCTGTACAACTGACAGGCTGCTTCACAATCTTCGCACAAAGGCGGATAGAAGCTTCACAGAGAGCCTGAGGATTCTCTGCCTACTGCCATCGCTCCAAAAGCGCCCCAAAAGACCCCCAAGGGGCCTGGGTCTCGTCCATCTGCGCCTCAAAGGGGACCACAGCTATGCTATGACCTCTCAGGCAAAATGGGCTTCCCTTGCAAAGGCACAGAAGTTGATGCTGACATGCATTGCTGATCCCCCTCATTCCTGCCCAAGCTGATTCATCCACTTACCTTTGTGTAAACAAGTGCAGGCAGTGCTGTTTATGGACATTGAAGAGTGGTTTGCATCGATGTTAGCATGTGCTGATGGCCCGGCAAGCGGTTGCCCGAGCCTCTTCTTCTTTGGCTTGCCTGGCGTAGGCAAGACCCATTGCGGAGAAGTCCTGCGTCAAGGTTTTGGGTACGATTTCCACGATGGTGATAGTTGGTTGCCAGACGATCTGAAGGAGTCCCTGGCACGAGGGCATGGCTTCACGGATGAGCAACGGGACCGATATGCAGAGGAAATAGCCAGACGCATCTCTGAAGTCAAGGAAGCGGAAGCTCAGCTTTCTTCAAGCGAAGGCCGGGCAGCTCGGCCTATCGCTATAGCCCAGGCAACATTTAAACAACGTCACAGGGACTTGATACGTCGAGCTCATCCAGACTTGGTTTTCGTCTGGGTCCAGGCGGCTGAGAACTCGCGCATGCGTCGACTGCGTGAGAGAGACAGTGTTGTTGACGTAGCTCTTGGTCGGCGTATGACGCAAGACTTCGAGGAACCCTTAGGCGAGAAACATGTTGTGCTCGTCAATGATTTGGATGATGAGCCTGTGGAAGATGCGTTCAGACAAATGCTGCGTCAAGCCATGATGTCAAGGAGAGTCCTGGTTGCCAACTGACATGCCGTGATGCTGGCGTCTTCATTTTCCTTCCTGAGCGCCAGTTTCAGGCCTGGCCAACCGTCAAAGTGTAAGTGCAAGCCATTCCTGACTGGATTTGTGCCTTGTGGAGAAACTAAGTGAAGCTTTTCGAATGCCTGAGCGTGAGTCCGTTTGTCGCACCAGTGCTCTGTTGCGTGCTGTCGTGATGCATCGTGCTCTTGTACTTTATCAAGTGTTGGTTCAAGCAGCTCAGGCATGATGGGCTATCCAAGCTGAGCTTATCATGCAACACCGGCATGACAAGCATTGTCCTTGCGGGAAGTGCTGATAGGATGGCATCTGGCATGGAGCCTACCCCTGGAAGCTCGGACATGCCTGGATGTACTGAGCTCAGTTGCAGCTAGCTGCAGAAGCTTCTTTGGTGAGAGTTGCCACCAGGTGCAACCTGGCAGAGAACAGCGCTGATGATTGCTGCCCGTCATGGCACGTGCCTGAGACAAAAAAATGCGGAGCCTTAAGATGCCAAAGGGCAGGCGTGTGTTCCTGGAATTTGCATCTCGCCAGCAGTTGCTGTGGTTTCAATCACCAAACTTGGCACCTGTACGCATATACCTGTAATCTATGAACGCCACTCCAACTTGAACTAGAGTTGACATGATGCAAAGCCTGGCACGCAAGAGTGGGGTCATCATCCCTGCGCTACAGAGTTTAAAAAGGGTCAAGTGGTTTGGCACTTAGAAGTCGTTCGAAAGATTCAAACGGACTGTGCTTCATATCATCCTGTACACTTGCCTGATGGAGACACTGGAACATGATGCGCAGTTGCTGCTGGAGCAAAACAAAGTATTGGGTGCAATGGATGATACATGGACGCAACACAACAAAGGCACTGGTCTGACTGAAGCAGAGCAGTGAAGTGTTGGGAGATGGGCAAGCACTGGCGGAGATTCAAGGACGAGCATGAGGGCGCAAAGGACTGAGACGCAATGGAAAAGGAATTTCAAAGAAGACAAGACTCACGTGCCGAACTGAGTCGGCAGCAACTAACAAATGTTGTTTGAAAGGAAGCAAGACCAGCACCTAGCAGGAAGATACCTCGGAGTCTTGCAGTTTTCCAGTCGCAGCCCCGATTTGCGCTTACACTAGGAGCTAGAGATAATCCAGAAGTCTTTAATGCCAGACAGACATGTGGCTTCCATGCATGGAATTGGCAACAGCTTGTGCTCCGAAAGGGGATTTGCGGCCTTGTTGAGAAGTTTAAAGCTGGGTGCGTCAATATGGTTGCTTAGAACTGGAGGTGCAATCAATCTCAAATGCAAAGCATGAGAAGCAAATTCGAAACAGGGAGTGCCAGCATTGCAAATCTCGTTTGCAACGGTGTAATGAGGGGAACATGTGTTTTGGCGTGATGTTGGTTGTGGAGTGTGATGGAGATCACTTGACTGCAACTTTTGCCAAGCAGTTGCGTTTTCCAAAAAAATCGGTCAGGAGTTCTGACCAGAGGATGCCTTGAGTTGCTGGTCTCTAGCTCGTGTGTGGTTCCTGTGTGGTGTCCGTTTGGAATTGGGGCACTGGGGAGTCCGTGGAGGCCATGTCATTGGACAGTGCACGAAATTCGGGGTTCAAGTAAGTCAAACTGAAGTACAGCAAGTCTGTGAATTCTATGTCAAAAGCTTTCCACGGAGAAGGTTGACGCCTCTTTTTGCGGAGGTGTCTCTGTTTTGCTTGACCATGGTAAACATCAAGGAGACAAGATTTCGACAGCGTGCTGAGGAAAAAAAGGAAGAGTCGGGAGCAGGAGGAAAACGAGAGTGCAATTGCCCGGATGGAGCCAAAATGACAAAGCACGGTAAGGTGAAGCCGAACGAAGTTGCTAGGAGACAGAAGAAATGGACTTGCTTGGAAACCGATCAATACGACGGCTGCAATCGGAGAGGACTGTCCAAGAAATACAGCCATTCGTACAGCGTCAGCTCCCAATACTATGTAGCTGGTGCAGACAGCCGCTGAGATGAAGCGTCCAGCTCTGGGTGAGCGTCGCGGTCACCAAAGCTTAGTGATCAGATGCGGATTACCGGATTACCGAAGAGGAGAGGTGCCAACAAAGCCAGGTAGGGGAAGAAACGAGCAGCACCGACGACAGGCGCGACGCTAAGTGGAAGAAAGAAGATGGACGGCTCGGAAGTGATGAGACAGAATCAGGAAATCACAAGAACTGAGAAACCCGACAGCAGTAATGAAGATTCCTTTGTTTTGGCGGAGATGCTCGGAAGATCCCCGTGGAGGTAGCCCAAGACAAAAGCTCGGACGCTCGGCATCGCCCGACGACAGTGTGAGGGCCTCTAAAGGCCCCAACAAGAAACACCAATTCGAACCGGCAAATATGCGAATACAGCTGTCTCAGTGAACTCGTGTCCCCTTTGTCTTGTTTGCCTGCCAGAGGTGCTAGAGCTGCTAGAGCTATGTCTGCTGCCGATTTCATGGTGAACCATCTCGATGTGGCATGATGTCGCCATGGTGGTCTTGCTAGGCTTCGCCTGTTTTGCGCAGTCTGGAGTGGTGTCGTTCAACTTTGACAATGTCCGCTTCAATCCAGAGCCAGATAGTTGAACATTGCGAGGGCTGCAGCAATCAGCTTCCTAGACGGAGCCGGCGCTGGTTGCTGTCCTGACCTTTCTGGGTGCCAGCACTCTTGGTCTCGTTTATGCTGGCACGGTTGTTTCCCTTAGCTTTGTCTGTTGGTTCCGGGCATTGCGTTGGATCCTGTAGCAAATCTTGCCTTCTGGCTTAGCTGCGGTTGGCTCAACAAATCAAGATAAATCAAGGCCACTGGACAAGCCAGAATAAGTATAGCTCACATCTACGGATGCCCGAGCAACTTTTGCTCCCAACGGCTTTGCCCTTCTTTGGCATCTTTGTGGGTGGTTTTGGTAAGACGAGAGTCACTCGAAAACTGTAAAGTTGTTGGCAGTCAGTTGGTTGGACGGCACCATGGACCATGAGCCTCCTCTGTGACGTAACGGCCGAGGTGAATTGTACAGTCTTCGGCAGGCCAAAGTGGCCTTGGATTTTGTTTTTACCCGCCTTCCAACCAATTTGAATCCGTTCCAACCTCTACAAGTCAAAACGCTTCTGATATAGCCTTTGAACTGTGCACATGGGCAAAAGAAGCGACTGACGGACGAGTGGGGTTTTGCAAAGAGAATGCCACGAAAATTTGGAACAACCTATGCTGTAAACTTATAGCATTGCAGCCCTGCCCAGCACAGGCGCAAAACATGTCAGCAACAAGGACCCGAGCGAAACGAACAACAACATCACTAATCAAACTGCCGATTTTCCAGCAAATGTTGAAAGTGCACTTGCTCCAGGCCAAGACGACGTTGTGGCGCGTGCACTTGAAACTTCTTGTTCACAGCCTCAGCTGGACGCTGCAGCCCTAGAGAGTGCGGAATGGGTGTATGCCTGCATCACGTCCAAGACGACGTGCTGTTGACAAGGTGGTGGACGAAAGTGGCAACACAGCCGTGATGATAGCTGCACGGGAGGGTCATGGGAAGGCACGTTGAAAGGTCTAGCTAAGTTCATTTGCATGTTGCACAAACATTACCGTGTGTGCAGGTAGTGCAGGCTTTGGTAGCCGCAGGGGCGGACCTTTCTATTCGAAACCTTGCTGGGCACACCGCTGCTGATGTTGCCAGCACAGTTGGTGCCTGAGTCATGATGGACGCAGTCAGTCATGCAGCATGTCTGAGAGTCTGGTAATGCGAGGACGAAATTCGTGCAGTCATCGTGAAAGGTGAAGCCCAAGCAGAGGCGATTCTGAGGCCGAGCTATCCAAGCCGGTTCTGACATCATATCATTTGAAAGAGAGTCTTTGCTTGGAGTGGTCCGGACTGGTGACGCAAGCACGTTGTCTTTCAGTCTGGTTTTTGTCACCAACGAGTGCTTGCTGGTGAAATAATCCTCTCCGATTCACAGCGATTGCAGCTTGCTGTCTGCAGTTCCATGCGCTGCAGAAAAGGAGGGGCATTGCCGATTCGGCCGGCATTGCCCCTCTTTGCAAGCCCAAAAAGAGTGGCGACCATGCCAGTGTCGGCAAGTCTAAGAGGCCTCGGATGAGCGCCATCATCATGAGCGTTATGCTTTCATCATCTGCTGCTGATGTTTCAGAGGTGCAGAGCAGTACTGTCAGCTCTTTCATGCAGGGAGTGTTTTTTGCCATGTTCGTTGTGTCCATTCCAGCTGTCTTCTGTATGCTGTATGTGCCGCCTCTGAAAGTCCTTGGTCGTAGCATGATGCCCTCCGTCAGATGGACACCATGCGCAGAATGTTCAAGTCCGCTCAGAGCGTGAGCATGATCATATTTCAGACTATGAAGAATGCATGCGTACGCAGGCATGTGGCCGTAAAGGTGGGTGCTGTGTTAGGCAGTCAGCTCAGCACTGCCTTTGCGCTTTAGGAAAGTCCATGAAAAGATTCGGAAATGCCCCCTTGGCCTGCTGCAGCTGTGGAGTGACGGTCTTGGGTGTTTTGGAGGTCGATCCTGGCCATGGGTGGCAAGAGAAGCGAAATACCAGCAGCAGGCAGCAGCTCATCCACTGCTGCAGGCAGCTTGATGGCACGTAAGATCACGGATGGTTTCAACAGTTTGGCAGCCCAAGGACTTGCACATTTGCCCAAAGAGCTTGCAGCTCTGGCTGCTGATTTGGATATCAAGCTTCCCGCCGAGAGCCCATTTTAGCGACAGGCACCCGCTTCTGAGTGCCCAGATGGCAAGAACCTGCCATTTGTGTTAACGAACTCGCAGAATTACCAATGGCTCCCGGCCATGAAAAGTGCCTGACCAGCTTGGGCCCTTCCGGTCTTTCCAGCATCAGCTGCGCACATCTCTGCGTCTTCGCAGCCATTTCCGATTCTGTCTGCAAGGGAACAGGCTGCGGAAACATGGGAAATCTACAAGAGTTCGTGCAGCGGAAACCGAAGTCTGCACATTGCAAACTGAGTACAAGTAGGCAGCTATGTAAGCAGCTTAGAGTAAGAAGTGTCCGAAGTGCCGAAGATTCCCTGAGATGGGTTAGGAGATGCTGCAGCCCATCGCGAGCAGGCCGTCCTTCACCCTACATGCCTTTTCAGAAGTTGTTTTGAAGTTGAACAGCTTTGTCATCTTCGTCTTGGAAAGTGGTTTGAACTTAGAGAGGGTTCCGGTGAGGCCATGTTGGAGCCTACTAGTACACCCTCAGGGCACCACAGTAAACTCCCTTTGGGACTCAGATCCCAAACTTTGAAGCTTAAACCCCACACAACATTGAAATTTCCGTTTCCTTGCACCATAGTTCTGAAAACTATAGCTGGAGCCCTCCGCCCGCAAGACATGGACTGGTGCAGCCATGCTCGCATGGAAGCGCAACACTCATGTGTTGTTTGGTGAAAGTTTTATGCGACTCAACTGCAACCTGCATTCTATGCCTAGGTTTTCAGCTATGCTGGGAGTCGCGGGCGGACTTGCAGAGTATTTCAGAGCCAGGTTTGTTGTTTTCGTCTGGAAGAGGGCATTGTTTCTGGTTTAATCCCGTCCTTCTTGCTTGACATCTTGGCAAGATGAATGGAAGCTTGTGCGCCCCCAGAAGACATTATGGCTTCGATGCTGCCGCTTCTCAGTGACAGTTGGATAATTTTCAGTTGCGAGAAAGTTCCGTGTAAGCCCCGCATACCTTGGTCACACCTAGTAGACGTGCGCGTGCTGCACTTTTTATCAACCGAAAATAGAGCTCTTCTAAGCGCCCCCCATTCAGGGCCGGAAAATGGGAAACAGGCCTGGGGAGCTGCCAGCCCTGACAGCTGCAGGTCTAGGCTGAAGCTTTGTTTTGAGCAGGTTTTTGTGAAGCCTGCAGCGTTCCGGTTCTGAATACTATGGTTCGGCCAGCTAAAGAAGTTGGCTGTCAGAAGCATGCGTGGGGATGTGGCCGTCAAAAATGCAAAAGTTTCTCATCTTGGGATGAAATCAGAAAGCAACTCTCAGGTAAAGCAGCGCTTCAAACGGCTTCTTGCAGTTTCTCTGGCAGGCTGTGGCACGGGTGTCCTGACGCATGCTTGGAAAAGGCCCGCGAATGTACCCGGCCACAACCTTTCAGTGCTTATGCTTGCTCAAAGAATTTCGAGGAACGTTGCTGGCTGAGCTTCAGCGTTTGCAAACATTGAGACTCAGGAACACGTAATTGTAAGCGCTAGCGCGCGTCCGCCTCGGCAGCCTGCCTGGCAAGGAGGCCAGACGTTGCAAAATATTTGCGTGAAGAGTCTAGGGGCAGGGGGACAGCTTTGGTGGGAGCTGGGAAGGGGGGGGGGGTTGGCTGGGTGGGCGGGGTCTGCCAGAGGTCGAGGCGAATCAGGTATCTTGAGGCTCAGTGTTGAAACAGAGCCATGATGTTGCTTGCGTCTGACAGGCACGATACGGTTGGGATCGCAAGCTGCTCGCTGGACACCTACAGAGTTGCCAACGCTATCATCTCGCAGCATGCTTGCGAAACTTGAGGCATTCCCAGGCCTGCTGCTGATGTCGGATTTGCGTTTGCCGTTCGCGTCCGTTCGCGCAGAGGATGTGCTGAGTTCAGACAGGCTTTCAGCTCAGCGGGCTCAGCATGGGAGCTTCGCAGCCACAGGAGGCTCCTCGAGTGGTCGACCAGCTCGACAGAGACACAACAGTATCTTCTTGGTACTGCCACTCACAGCAACAGAGACTGCGAAAGACTTGGCAGACTGTTTCATAGCCTTTGCAATATCACCTGACACTTTGCGCGTTGCAGGTTGGACTTTGGATGGGAGAAGGCGAGTGCTGGTAGTTCACCCGAGGCGGGCCCGGCCTATAAGTCAGTCAGATGATCATGATCTGTCAAGACCTGTCAAGTCATGCCCAAGTCTGGGACTTCGGTTTCATGCGCAGGCTGCCGGGGACCAAAGAGGCACTGTTGCCTTGGGATGCAGCAGAGGCTGACCTGCTTCTTGCAGTGTGCGAGCGAAGCAGAATCTGGCGAGGCGGTTGCCTTAGCTCGCGCTGCCGGCTGGCAGAGCGCGTGGCAAGAGACAGGCGCGCTTGATCGTGAACGGATGTGAACGGCTGTTTCCTGCGCTGACCTTCCCATTCTTCAACGAGGCGTGGAGACGGTAAGTTCGGACTCCGAGTCATCCAGTGAGGAGAGCGTGCAGCGAGGCAGTGACAGGCTTCTTGCAGAATCACCTGCAACCTTTGAAGGAGGATCTGGAGATGGAGGACTCTGACAATGAGACGGCTAAGTATGATTCAAGTGTACAGCTCTCAGCCTCACTGGGTGCGGGTCATGGGAATCAGCAGTGGAGCATTTCAACTACTCTGTCTCGAGGCCTATGTTGCAGCGACCTGAGCGCGTAGGGTGAGCTTCATTACGCTCAGTTGTCAGTCGAAAGATGCAGTCTTAGGCCAGGCTGGACAGAACTGACCCTCGCTTCTTCTTCCATGTGAAGGAAAGGCTTCGACAGCAATGAAAGGGAAACGGCAACCACGTGCGGAGTTTGTTCTTGCAATTGATGTTCAGGAGCTTTGCCGCGTAGCAGTGCACGTCGTGCGCTGTAAAGCCGACGTGCTATTTGCTGGATCCTTGCTTCCTGCTTGAGACGCGAACCTGACAGCCCTTGCTGTTGGCTGTCGAAGGTCAACACCTCCCTCTCGCCCATTCAGCAGCGGCACTTGGAGGCGCTCCGGGAGTTCTGCCCTAAACTCCCCTCACATCCCCTCAACTTCCGTGGATGGTTCGCAGATAGTTGCAGGACAGTTTTTTGCCTTTGCAGGCTGCTATGGATCTCGCTTGGCGTGCACAGCGGCAGCAGCAAAAGCGGTTCGACATCAGCAAGGCTGACGCCTTGAACCCCTCAAGGCAACGTGCAGCAGGCTTCGCAGCTGGCTTGAGATTTGCGGGTTGCTGCCAGAATCGCGGTCTTTGATCGCGCATGTGTGGTCTTGGCGATCTTCGCGAGAAGGGCTTCCTCGACTGTGGCCAGGTGAATTATGGATCTACTGTGATCGTCGAATCATGCAACACTGAAAACCGTGAAGGCTGGGCCTTGAGCTCGCAGAGGCTCAAGAGGTGGGAGCACAGCTTGTTTTTTTCAAGTCGCTGGAGTTTGTTTCAATTCTCTCAGGTCAAGGCAAAACTTGGAGCCCAGCCCTCGGAATGTTGAATGCTTGTTGCAAATGCATGAATCGCATGCATTTATGAAACGCAGACTTTGTTCAAGTCTTCAAGATGAATAGCCCTGTCTGACACAAGCATCTATGTTTCAGTGCTTTTGCAGATTGTGCAAAGTTGCCAATGGGACGCAGGCTGGGATGGCGTCAGGGGTGACCACGCCGCTATCTCAAGGGGCTCTCAAGCATGTCCTTTGTGGCCACTTTACAGATGATGCTTGTCGAAGGCAGATGCAGCAAGTTGCTGTTGCTTTAGGCAAGCTTCCAGGCGTGCAGATGCCCCATGCAGACAATACCTGGCTCAGCTCGATTCCACTGCTGCAGGATGTGACAAAGCATTGCTGCTTCCCCGTAGTGGAGGTGCTCGAGGAGCCATGGCCTTGGCATGATTCGCCACGGTCATTGGTTATTCCTGGTTCGTCAGTTCCCGCAACCTAATTTGCTGCAAGCTCCCAGGTCATGACATCTTTCACGTCATCTCCTCAGGCTCGGGGTCGTTTGAAGACCGCTGTGGCTGTGTACATCTGTCAGAAGTCACCTGTCTCAGATAACACGACAAAAGCAGCAGCGAGTCGTCGACGAGAAGCGTGCCCGACTTCGAGAGGAGCCCTGTCAGCTGCTGCGCATGGCGTGCTGCTGTAATGCTGCATACTGCTTAGTGCAATGGTCAGATCGCTCCCCATGCTCACCATTGGCCCAGGGTAGTGTAGTGTAGACATGCCAGTTCAGCGAAATCCATGAGCATCGTTCAGAAGGTCTGCATGCATTGCAGATGATGCCTTACATCAAGCATTCAGATTCAGCCTGTTCGATTTTAAGTCGTGATGCCGATGCACTCGACTGATGCGTATTTATTCGCATCTTTGCGCCCACTTGGTGCTTCAGGCCAACTTGCTTTGCATCTGCTGGCGCGTATAGCTTCCCATTGTTGGTGCCACAGCGCTGCAGGGGCTTGCCGATGGCAACGTGCAGAGTGGGTTGCCGGCTGAGATGTTCAGATGTCAGTACTGCAGGGACATGTCTACAAGCACAATCTTGTGACAGGTATGCAGAAGAGGGCTGCGACGCTCCATTCTGGAGCTCAGCCAAGACGATCCTCGCAGGCGTGAGCATTTTGTAGAAGACGCAGGGTCCTTTTCAGAGTCCGCAAGAAGAGTTCAAGGTGTCGAGTGGCCACCAGCAGAAGCTCGTGTGCGAGCACTGGCAGAGCAAGAGCTACAGCTAGCGCCTGGAGGCTCTCGCGGCTGGGATGTAGCAAGTAGAAAAGATCAGATGCTCTGCGCGGCCAGATAGCGCTGGATGCAGCAGTGGTCGCTTTGTACTCTCCGTGTCTTTGCAAGCACTTGCAGAGTTTGGCTGATGCGAGTTACTTTGTTGCTTGGCATCTGCAGATAGAAGGTCTGGCAACTAGTCCACGCTAATACCACTCTCCGGGCCTGGCACATCCGTACGAAGTTTGGGGTCGAACTCTCCGAGGCGGCCAGTTTGCACCAGCGGCCAGCACATGCCAGCATGTCTCCCATCAACTGGCCAGATGGCTTGGCCAGCTCTTTGGCCGTGGCGAGCATTTGGTGCATTGGCATCCCTGCGGCAGCAGGTAATGCAGGACTCCTTTGCTTGCTGTGAGCCTGACCCACACTGTCAAGTCCCGCAGGACCCTCATGCTTTTTACGTCCGTGAACATTCTAGGCAGGCCGTAAGAGAAGATGATAGAAAATGTTCAGAAGGCATGAGTAGGAGTTTCTTTGGGAGTCCAGATTCCCACTGCCTGCCACATGTTGAGAAACGGATCTCGGTTGTGCTTGATCTTTGACATGGTCGTGGCTTGCTGGACCATGTCACATGTTCTGCCTGGCAGTCCGAGTCTGGCGTCGGAAGATGCCGATTTTTTAGACACACTGACGTGGCTCGGCTTACTTTAACCTTTTTGTTGACCACCGTCATGATGAGCACAAATGTAGTCTGTTCTTGTGATGTGGATGATGGTATCTACCAGCTTGGCAAATGCAAGCACAAACTCCAGTCAAGGTTGGCTTTCTCAGCAGGTGGGGAGATGAGATCAGCTGATATTGTGGTAGGGAACATCAACATATTTCAATGCCCCCTTTTGAAGGTTTTGTGCCTGCTGCTTCACCTTCTGGTGCTGCTGCCAGATACTTGCACGTGACCCGCCGTGACGTTGCCAGCTTCTGAGTGCATCAACCGGCTTCTTTCGGAGTTCTCTATAGAGCAGAGGCTGCCCATGCTTGTGCTTGAGGCCAGCCCACTTGCTGCCACGCACCTCAGCGGAAAGTGAGGAACTTCAGTTTGTTTTATTCTCAATGAGGTAGCGTCTGCTTTCTGGACACTGGCACTCTCTTTGTGGGGCGAACAGCATTTTTGGAGCTCACAGGCAAGAATCAAAATGCAGACTGGAACATGACATCATGACGTTATACGTTGTTTTCCTGCATGTGCTTTGGGCGTTTCCATTTCCTGTAGGTGACAGAGCTTCTTGTCGAAGGCGAGCACGCGGTCAAAGCATGGATGCGAGGCAAGCTCGGGGGATTTTACCAGCTGCTTGTGGTGGCCTGGGCCTCAGTATAGCCTTGAGCACCATGCGCATCAGCCTTAGCCAAGACTATCCAAGACCCTTCAGCCAAGGCGTGGCCCTTGTTGGAGATCCTTGCTGCGCTGGATGTGAAGGACATCCAGGTGTGCTCCTTGCTCAGACATTCTTCGGACGCCACTGATGCATGTCTTTTCACCGCAGGCACATGCGGGGTCAAGTCCGCGATTCAAGCAGGTCGTTTCAGGCCTGACAAGTACCAGTGGTGAGCGCAACAATTTCTAAACGGTGGCCGTGCGCTTTGTAGCTTTCGCGCAAGTATTGACGCGATCGCGTTTCTCGCTCCCGAATTTCGATTCTGAAAGAAAACAAGAAGCCACTTTAGCCATGGATCTTGTGGGATGGCCCGTCATAATCTGCACAGCATCCCATCAGGCCGGGACCCACGAGATCCCCATTGCCACATGAAGGGCAGGTCTCTTACTGCAGGACTGGCGTAGGTCATTCAGACAGCAAGATGCTGCAAAGGAGGTCAAGTTCTATTCGCGTTGCAGGATTGCAAGACCAACGCGTGGAAGCCATTGTGGTTTTTGGACGCGAGGACCGGGTTCGAATCTTGGATACGTGCGCCGGTTGTTGTTTTCATTGGACGGGCAGTCAGTTTGGAATGCAATATGCGAAGTTTTTGATAAGTCTTGGCTTGTTGATTGCTTTCATCCATGGACCGGCCGTAGCTTGCCCCCACAAATCTGGGTCCACCCTTGAGGTTCTTGATGATTTGTGCCACCTGAGAGGGGTTGTGCTAAGACATGCTAAGACCTTCCGAGCACGTTTGGGATGAAATTCCATGGGCTACCAGGCACCCAGGCGTTGGGGTTTTGGGCGCATACTGGGAATGCTGGGATCCATGTTGCAACAACCAGACCCTATGGGCTGAATCTTCAGCTTCAGCAGCTTCAGCATTTGCTGATTTTCCGGGGTTCCGGCACGCGCAAAACTTCGCTCCCTGCTTTCTGTAAGACCTGGCAGCTTGTATTGGTTGTTCTTTCTTTGAGCCTTGTGTCAGAATGCCTTGCAGGTATTTGCAGAGGAATCTGCGCAAGAATGGAGGAGCCTTACGCCCAGATTCTGGCCTCAAGCCTTTTTTTAGCATCAGGCCACTAATTGCTGTTTGTAGCTAGGTCATCGACAAGGTGCATTTCGTTGTATTTGCAGCCATGAGGCATTGTTGCACACAACTCTTACTTGCTGGTGCGCATGTGTCAACAACATTTGTGACTTTTGTGCCCTTCATTGCTGTTGCACATCTGCTTACCACATGAAGGGACGATTTGGAATACTTGCAGCAGTTGATCGAGCAAAACGTCGGGACCCCACAGTCCACTCCGCACGCGGGATCATGTGATTGCATTAGCACGCAGCAGTGAGCTTTATGACTTTCTCGGCGTTCCAACAATGCTTGGGAAATCTTACGTAGGAATTATGCATTTTGAAGCCTCATCCAGAAACGGGGTGTCGCAGGCATAGGCGGTCTTTCGACACAGTCACACAATGCCTTATGATTATGTGATAGGGGTTGTTGAGCTGTTGAGCTAGAAGCTGTGATAGTGCAGGAACTATGCAGCATGGGCATGCTAACCGCATCCACATACATCCACACGGCATGATGAAGGCAGCTGGCAGATGAAGTCTTGAGGGGAGACTTGAGTCAGTAGTTTCCGTTTCAAGTTCATTCCTGCATCCCTGGGATCCAGCGCAGGCCCTGCTCTGCTGATGCCAACTGAATCCACAGCAGTCCTGGTCTGTACGGAGAGACAGGAAGGACGGAAGAAGGCAAGGAAGGAGGGAGGGAAAGAACGTTATGGACATCCACGTTTTGTAGCCATTTCCTTCTTAATAGAGACCTTAAAGAGACCGAGGAAATCCATTCAAAATTCAGCAACTTCTTCTCAGGCTTCCTATGACAACGAGAACCGCAAGGCGGTCGTTGTGCCAATGAACTCTGCTTGCAGTCATCCGTCTGGAGTTGATTTGGAAGACCTTGTTGACGTGCCAGCTTTGTTCGTCAACTGGAAGGAAGGAAGGCAGGAAGGAAGGAAGAAAGGAAGGACGGGGAATCCAAGTAGCACGCCAGGCAAGAGGTGTCGATGTTAAATCAAAAGGACAATTAGCTGGCGTGGGCTTGCAGTCCCGGTAGTGGTATTGCTATGTTACTTATGTTTGTTCCTTTGCCATTTTCGAGTTGCAAACACGATGCTTGGCCAGACTTACCAAAACTTAGTAAGAACCTGCATGTTCTCATCTTCGTCCAAGATTTGCAGGTGAGGGGCGGCGCCCCTCAATCCCCTGTTTGCATCTTCGTCCACGTTCAACAAATCAGGCGGCCTTGTCTCCCACGACCCCACGCTTTTTTAGTTCAGATCATGCCGGCCAGGGAACATCTTTTCTAACCCTAGCAAGAATCAAGAGCTTACATACATGTCCTCATCTTCACGCATGTTTTGGAACTAGAGAATCACCCTACTGCCTTTCATTGTCCTCAAGCTACCACAATGCCTAGGTCATGTCAAAAGTATATCCAGATGCTGCACATGGTCCGGGCACTTCAAATTGATGTCCTTTACAATACTTGCAGCTTCTGCGCACTGCAGACTTGTGTTCATGTACAGTATGTGCAGCCTTTGACCACCTCCACACCTCCAAATTGCACGTTTACGGTCCTCAGCGCCTCCAAACACCTCCGAATCGTGCTGTTCACGTTGTTTTCGAACCCGAACACTGCCGAATCGCGCTGTTCACAGTATCTGAGCCTCTGAACACATCTAAGTCGCGTTTACAGTGTCTGAGCGGAGCAAAACTGCTTAGCTTCATGTATTTGATCCTTCAATTTCTTTGTTTCTTTGGCAGATTGTTGATCTCTCACCCATCCTGGTTGCAGTCCTCCTCTCTCCGAATCATCCTTGGGCTGGCTGAAAGACAGTGTGGATCTAGCTTTGAGGTCGTTGTCAGATTGGCATAGTCTGACATGCTTGCAAACCCTCCGAGGCTCCGTGGTATACGTATCCAGTGGTCACCGGCAGGCGATCACTTAGCTACATGTAGTAGCTGGGGTAAGATTTTCACGTCAGGCGCTTGGCAAAAATCTATTCCGTATGCAACGATCCGGATACCGCTGCCCAGTTGCAATTCCAAAGACGTAGAAAGCATGCAGGATTTCTGATTGGTACTTTGGCATGGTTTGGGGCAAGGTCTACTTGAAGATTGACGATGACATGGTCTACATCTCAGATCAGGCTGGCTCTTTGCAAGTCTGGCTTGCAGATGTGTACCTGAAAAAGAGTTCTACCCCAAAGGCCATTGCAGAAATGGTGCGGGAGCGACTTCGCAATCGTTGCGGACTGGTGTCAGCCAACGTGACTATCTCAGTGGTGGCGTCAGAGTTCGCCTGAGCTCACAGCTGCGCCTTCTTGTAAGATGCGCTCTGTCACAAGCTGAGGTCATCAATCATGCAATCCTGTCGGCGGTCCACCAGGCTTCTGCATAGAACTAGCAGCAGGCAAAACAAGCAAACAAGCAGACGTGGCGGACGGTGTCCTGGGACAGGACATCGGCGCCCTCCGCCACTTCTTCCCCACTGACCAGGACCGGAGCCGTCGGACTGGCGGAGAGCTGTCGCATGACTCGGGTCGAAGCACACAATGCCTCATAGGACACTGGATCCATGTGCGGGGCCTGGTTGATTCTCGATCCTGCGTAATGCGTGTCCACCTCTTCAGCGAAGCTAAGCTCCAGCCAGCACCCAAACCCCCAGATGCTGAATCATGGATTCCATTCTGACTGATTTGTGCGTGTTTTTGATTTGTTTCTTCTGTTCTGGTCGTCATCATTGCTACTGCCTGCCATGTTTCTGGCTACTGCTAGCATGGGTGCTTCTATTCGCTTTCTTGTTGTTGCTCTAACTGGTATCATTGTTTTCTTTGCTGTGGCCATCGCTAGCGATCATGAAGCTTGTCGCTTGAGCAGCTCTTCCACCGCTCATGCATAATCCCAGTAGCCGCTGATCCTAACTGTCAGGGCCCACACACAGACAAGAATCGTTGCCAGAGAAATTTCTGCAGCCTTTCCAATACTTCATTGGATTCCAGTTCTCCGCTGTGAAACGCATGCATCGTTATAATTGCATTCGCTGGGGCATGACAGGGCTGCCAGGCCATTCTGGTTTATGTGGTAGGGTCGGTGCCGGGGTGGACTAGTCTTGGTCGGCCATGGTCGACCTGTTCCAAACGCCCGTCGGCTAGAAGAAGCTGAACTGGCAGGCATGCTGCTAGCAACGGATGCACAGAAACGAGGCAACCTTGGATTCGAAACGATGATGCTCTTCCCATCATGGCTATTGAGAAGTGGCTTGCCCGGTACAGATTAGATCTAGCTGACCTTGCACTAAGCGAGACTGCTGCAAGGAAGTCGCAAAGTCAATGCGTTTGGTCCACCTGGCAGTGTGCGGCATGGATGCACGAAAGTTTCCTGTCTATGCCTCGGATACACGCCAAGGCATGCCACGTAGTCTTGCCAGTTGCTGTTGAGGTCACGAGTGGCAGATGGCACTGAATGTGCGTACGACTTTGGGTGGCACGACTTTCATGCCAGTGGCCATGGGCATTTCGATGGTGGGGGGCCAAAGTGCACTGGCCATTGAGGGTTGAAAGGTCTGCCAAAGCGTTCCTGACAAACATGTATACGGAATTTTTTGGTATACACCGATATTGGTACGTGGCTACCGCTCAATATGAAAGGTCCGGAACAAGGGCGAGCGCACATCCCGA